TTTTTTATTAATGTGTTTGGGTATATCTGAAGTACCGGTACTTTTTCATATTGCATAGCTGATATTTGTCTTCTTTTCTGTATATTTAGTATCATTCAGAATTGATACTGTTTATTAATACTGGTTTTAAATTCTTGCTGGACTGCATTAGTAAATCTAGAAAAAAAAAATCTTTGAATGCTTTTGGTATATAACAGAAATTTATTAGAATACGACGTTTATAATACAGATTCTCAAATTCTTTTTTTGGAAAACAGTTTTTTTACGGTCATCGTCATTGTCGTTAGTTTTTTGCTATTGCTTCTGTTGATTCTGCTGTTACTGGTGATGATGACGATGTTGCAGTTATTTGAATAGGTTTTCAATTTTCGATGCTGAGAAGAGGAAATTTACTGCTTTCGTTTATAAGCTACAAATGTGGTGAGAATTTAGAAGCGGAAAAAGAAAGTGGCGATAAAACCGCAGTTGATCAAAACTCTTAGTTTATTCTGTTATCAGAACATCTAATGTTAAGCAGCGATAAAATATAAGAATGAAGATAAAACTTACAGTTGACCAAAACTTTTAGTTTATCCTATGTTATCAGACTATTCAACGGTAAGTAATCATAAAATATTGATAGTTTAAAAAAAGCATCTTACAAAAATTTTTTTGCTGTATTTAGTGTTTCATTCGCAACTGTTAAGGCATTAGAATAAGGCATTAGAATTTGGACATTTTCGTATAAATCTGAATCAAAACTGATTTTGAGTAAAGCACTTCTACAACTGATCACATGTCACACTTTTTCAGCCAACCTATTATTCTTCTTGAACAGAAACTTTGAGCCCTTGACGGAAAGGACGAAGAAGATGTGACAAAGCAACAATATGTTCAGGTATCATAAATAAACTGAAACTGAAAAAAAAGAATAGTTTTTGGGTTGCACAAGTTGAGAACTTAATTTACATCTTTTGATCAGTTTTCCTCCAGATGGGAACAAGAAAAAGATATCTTCACTGCAGTTTTAAAATAGGTAACATGTCAACTGTTTCAGAAGCAAAAATTAGGCAACAGTGTACTAAATAGATTTCTAAATACATGGCGAAGTTGTATAAAAATAAACAGCAACTGAAATATTTGCAATTCAAAGGAATTGCAAAATTAACATATTTAACACGGTGACTAAGAACTAAGTAAATATTTGAGTTCATCAAGAGCAAAAAAAAACTGACAAAAACAATTGGAATTTATCGACAATGCAAACAAAACTAGTAAATTTTGGTGGCTATTCAAAAACGGTTACAGAACTCAGTCATATGAATTATTATTTAAGAGGCAGCTGACAATTTAGCCAACTGACCGTATGTGGTCTTACGTCTGCTTGATCTATGCTACATTTGTGGTCACTAAAACAGTTTCTAGGACAAGTGGGAAAGTTACTCTTGGGCATAAAATTGTCGATGATCTGCAGATTGTTCATGCTGAACCACCAAATGAGCAGGTCTATTATAATTTTAAATTTTAAAACCATATTTGAAAAATTTTTTTAAGAAGAAGCTTTTCTCTGTAACGGTGCCTTCAAGTTACTGCAAAAATTTGTTATTCTCACTTTATCTATTTATTTTTAGTTTATCGTAACTGTACATTAAAATTACTTAATTTTTAATCAGCGAATCTCTAAATGACATTTTTTGTGCACAATAGTCGCACAGTCATTCGCAACAGTTTAGTAATTTAAAGCTGGTTGTCAGTGGTTAAAAAGTTATTTTCAACAACAAATTCAGTGACTGACTAAGTAAATTTCAAATCCGGAAAACAATGCAACAGACAATCTTTGCAGGAATGGGTTATGGCTGCTGGTAATGAAACAGCTGTTGATAATGTACTTGCGATAAGTTTGGTTTACGGTGGACGTCTTGTTTCAATGGGTTATTATGGGAGAAATGATAAACTGTACTATTATGCAATTATGCATAAATATCCAGGACCCGTATTTCTGAAACCTGCTCCTGTTACCTACAAAGAGTTGCTCAAATCTGTTAAGTAAATTAGTTGTTTGATTACAACAACATATGCACAACTACTAATTATCATCAAAGCAACAACTATACTTATCTGCATACTTCTTCCTACTCCTTCGACACAATTTTCTTGTGGTTTTATCACATTTTTTAGTACTTTTTTCTTGACTTTCAGTTGACTTTGCTAATTTTTGATACTTTTCAAATTTTTCAGCAGTTAAGTAAACAAAATTCTTCTCAACAGAAACATAAAAACCTGAGCTTTTTGTGTCGAAATCGTGCACTTGGTCGTTTACTAACTGTTGGCTTAGATCTAAACCAAATTGAGACGCATTATAGACAAAGTCAAATGTTTTGACTGTTTTAGAGAAAATGAACAACGATCATTGGCGCTTACGCAAGTTTGCGGTCAAGAAGATTATCCTGGTCGAGTAACTTTTTCCACTTACTGGGAACGAATTCCTGGTGTTGAATTTGAGGTGTTGGTGACACTCTGCCTTGTCATTAACGGCTTTCATTAAAGCATTTTATTTGGTATTAAGGTTTATTACATAGAACTTTAGATTTGGTTTCCGGGCACTCCAGAGTCTGTAAGGCAGAGGAGGTTTTTAGAAAGTCGCGGTTACCGACTAAGTTATTTATGCGGATACTCAGTGATGAGCCGTGCTCAGTACGTTGGGGTTTGGCAAAAACCAACTTTATCAAAAAATCCATATGAAGCACATTATGGGCTAACGTTAGAACAGTGTTTGGCAAAAGACAAGATTCTTTTAAGTCGTGGTTTTATTGCAACACAGTTTCGTGTTTTCAATAACGGACTAGCGGTAAGCATATCAAACATCTGACTTAGTTTTAACATTTACATTTCTTATATAAAGAAGTAAGAAGAACTATATTCCGCGGTTTTATAACAATTCAAAATATTTGGACAATAACGACATCAATGATTTAAACTTGAACGTAACAAAATTCAAGTAAATTATATAACAAATAAATGCTTGATGTGAAAGCCAAATTTTAAAAACAAATAACAATAATAATAATAGTAATAATAATAATAATAATGATAATGATAATGATAATGATAATGATAATGATAATGATAATAATAACAATAATAATAATAATAATAATAATAATAATAATAATATAATAATAATAATAATAATAATAATAATAATAATAATATAATAATAATAATAATAATAATAATAATAATAATAATAAGACAATAATAATAAATTAATTTTGAGATTTTTCGGAATCAGTAATAATAATAATAATAATAATAATAATAATAATAATAAGCACGTGTAGATTTGTTCTTATCTGTTCTTTTTCATCTTTTCCAATTTTCCTTGTCAACCAGCTAAGAATTTTGCCAAAAAATCTGATGTGTATAAAAAGTGGAATTTTTTTGGATAAACTGTATTGGTATTAATATCACTGCTTCTCTTAACTAAGCCTCGAAATGATATACTTATATTTGAAAGACATATTCTGAGATCGTCTGTTTATTAAAAAGCCAATTTTGTAATTTTTTCTTGTTCTTTTATTGTCATAACGGCGCTGTAAATTTTGTGTGACCAAAGAATTTGAAAATCAAGAACGACGACGATGATGACGACGACAAAAGACTCTATTTGTACACTGTGCCTAAAATTCAAAAAAAAAAAATTTTTTTTTTTGGTCTTTTTTTTTCATTTTAGGCAAGGTAAACGGACCAGCTTTCTGAGGGAGGTGTAGGAGAGAGAAGGGTAGAGAAAAGACAACCAGAATTGTGTTATTCTTTGTTGCGGTAATAGCACTCTTTCTTCTCCTTTTTGCTGTTGCTGTTACTGCTCTGTTGTTGTTCCTTTTATTGCACTCCCAGAATTACCTATAATTGAAATAATTTTGGAAAGAAAACTAATATAAACAAAAAAAGCGCATCTATTAATTCTAAAACTAATCAAAGAGAAAAAAAGCTTACATCAGTGTACGTAGCGCATTAATTTATGAATGAAAGAAATCAATTGTTTGAGCCTTCTTGAAAAGTCTCTTGACTGGCACGAGTAAAGTTGTTGAAAAACGTTTAAAACGAATTACAAAAAAAAAAAATGAGAAAAAAAAAAGAAAACAATTTTTCTCTTTTAGATTGTCTTTACGTAACGTGAAGAGTGTTAATTAATTTAGGTACTGTGCACAGCAATTTGGGAATATGTACCGGCGAAGCATCATGCAATAGAAATTGGTACAAAACTTGAAGCAATATACAGCAAGGTAAATCGTGACGATGATATGTTACCGCGACAAATTTCACACTTCATGGATAACTTTGATAAAGTGAATTATGTGGTTCTCTGGAGTGATTACAATACAAATCGTTATCCAACTCCATTGCCGTTGTGGAAGCAAACCAGGTGACGGATTACCACAAAATAGAAACGACTTATTTGCGTGCTTTTTTTTTTCAAAACCAAAAATCTTTTTCTGTGCACTGAAAATTATTATAATTATATTATCATTCTGTAAACTAGAAAATTTACAACTATTATAATGTGACAAGAAAATGAAGATTGCTACATCTCATACCCTAAATTTTTTTTTTGTTTTTTTTTTTTATAGTAAAATTCCGGTAAGTTATTTGCAAGGATCAATTGAACTGTTATCACCAAGTCAACTTGAATTTCTTATCAAACGTGTTGAACATTTCATGAAAGACTTAGACATACCGGCACTGTCTATAGCAATCGTCAAAAAAGAACGGCTTAAGTTTGCCGCAGGTTATCAGCTTTATTAGTACGATCTAAAAGACTTCACTTTTTATCGCTTTTTAAAAAAATAGTTGTTTTTTTTTTTTTTT